ACAGAGTGTGGCATCGCTCCCAAAGAAGGACAAACTTTCACAGCCCTTCTCCTCTTTTTGGACAGACTTCTGCTGGAGTGCATTAAGGTGTGCCACGAGAGCGCACGTTTACACAATCACCGTCAAACACAGTCTGACAGTGCTAAGAAAGTAAAAGAAAAGCTTTGTTAATTAAACCAGAGACTGATACATAAAACATGAACAAAACTTTTGTCACATTGACCACTCAAAGCTGATCAGTTCAAAACCGACACGACTGGAACAATAACTATAAAAACAAACTTGCATTCACTTTACATTCTGTACGGGAAACACTTTTTTAATATTAACTTTATGACTTTTCAAGAATACAAAGTCATTAACAAACATTATTACATTATGTAAAGGAAGAGTTCACTTTTAATTGTATGGAAAAGAGCAGCTCGGATATTCTGCTAAATGTTTATTTCATATATATTATATATTCGTTTTTATATCTCCAATAACATGTCCTTAGTAAGATGAGATTGAAATGCTCCAAACATATAATGCAGTGATTGAGAGCTGAAGAAATAAAGTCTCCTCAGAAGATGTGAGATGTTCTGGAGGCTTGTGAAGATCATTCCTCCGCTGAGGAACAGTGAAAGTAAAGCTTCTGGAAACAAACGCTCCTCAAAAGATCCTGAGGATCAGATTTGAGACTCTAAAACATGATTGATGGAGAATCAAGTAAAGCTGAGCTGCTTCAGTCCAGTAAGTGTTCATCTGGAGATATTACTGCAGTTATTCTGACGCTTACTTGATCAAAATCAGTCAAGATTTGACACAAGAAGCAGCAGCTGAAGCTGGATGTTTGCATGTTTTTAGAGTTGAAGTGTGTTGACTGTTGAGGGCACTTACACATTTTCTGCTGCAGGTTGTTGGTCTCAAGCATTCGCTGGTAGACGAGCGCTTGTTCAGCCGGGTCGTCTGGGATCAGACGGGTGCCTTGAGACTTAAACGCGCTCTAGAAACCAAAAACACACCCGTTAGACCACAGGAACCAGTTGAGTCCTCTGCACAATCTGACTTTGCTGCAGCCTTGAATTGAACTGCTGGTTTCGTCTGGTCAGAGGAGAACTGGCCCCCCGACTAAGCCTGAGTCCAGTAAGTGTTCATCTGGAGATATTACTGCAGTTATTCTGACGCTTACTTGATCAAAATCAGTCAAGATTTGACACAAGAAGCAGCAGCTGAAGCTGGATGTTTGCATGTTTTTAGAGTTGAAGTGTGTTGACTGTTGAGGGCACTTACACATTTTCTGCTGCAGGTTGTTGGTCTCAAACATTCGCTGGTAGACGAGCGCTTGTTCAGCCGGGTCGTCTGGGATCAGACGGGTGCCTTGAGACTTAAACGCGCTCTAGAAACCAAAAACACACCCATTAGTCATCCGTCTGGGATCTGTAGTGTCTGGATCTATTACTTTATTACAAAAAAGCAATTATTGTTACAACTCTTCCTTGATAAACATGTTTTTAGAGTCACTTTGATATTTTTCTTGGTGTTTAAAGTAAATAATGTGTATGTGTAACTAAACTGAACTAAGCTTTCCCACATCAAGCAATATAAACCTTAAAGATAACATCAGAACTGAGTCAGAATCTCAAATAAAGTAAAGACTGCTTTGGAAGATAAAAATAGTATCTACTCTGAATTAGAAAAAAAAATTATTTGATGATGAAAATATTGGAAACTAGTACTAGTAAGTTATTATTTGTAACTCACTTATCCCAGTTTGATAGACAATACTTCTTTTATTTCCACTATAATCCACTGGGTTGTTATTTATGCAAACTTGTTTCTGACATGGATTTAAAAAAATGAAAAAGGTAATTGCGACTTTTTATCTCACAATTATGACTTTTTTTTTCGCAATTCTGAGTTTATATTTCACGAATCTGAATTGTGTGAAAAAAGTCTGAATTAAAATCGTCAAACTTCCCAGTGCCCTGTTGGTTACAGTGTTTACTTCCTTTTTAATGATATTTTTATTAAATATATATGATTTAATTATATTTTTATTAAAGGTATCTTGGAGAGGTGAGGTGAGAAGTCGCAACATCTGGCTACTGGGGTGCCTCAGGGCTCAGTTCTTGGACCACTTCTCTTCTCTGTCTACATGGCATCACTAGGTTCTGTCATTCAGAAACATGGCTTTTCATATCACTGCTATGCTGATGACACTCAACTCTACCTCTCATTCCATCCTTATGATCCGACGATAGCTGCTCGCATCTCAGCTTGTCTAACAGACATTTCTTGCTAGATGAAGGACCATCCTTTATTTGACCCTCTCACTCTAGCACTCTCTATTATAATTATATTCTTTAAAAAAAAAAAAAAAAAACTTGCCCCTTTTACACTTGCACTCTATTCATTTACTAACTGCTTGTTTTCTTTAATAAAAAAAAAACGAACACTGGCTTCTTTAATCTTTTTGTATTCTATCGATGTGTATTCTTTTTATTTATTATACAATTAACAAAAGGAAAAAAGGCCTTTAACACTAGCTTGCTATATTCTTTTTCTATTCTATCCGTTTTCTTTTTATTATATAATTTTTTTTTAAAACTTGCTGCGTGTACTGCATTAAGCTAATTGAGACTTGTTATAGCACTTGTATATCATTGCTCTTTTGTTGATTTTGATTGCTTCCATTGTCCTCATTTGTAAGTCGCTTTGGATAAAAGCATCTGCTAAATAACTAAATGTAATGTAAATATTTATTTAATTGTGAAAAATACTTTGTCATCTAAAGTATGTTTATTTCACACATTTATTTGATTCTGGGTTTATATCTCGAGATTCTGAGTTTATATCGTGATTCTACATTAATATCTCGCAATTCTGAGTTAATATCTTGCTAGAGATGGGCAATATCTTATCGTTTGCGATATACCGGTAAAAATTCTCCTCACGATAAGAATTAGTCTTCCCGCGATAATAACGATAAAGTCTAGTTGTTGACATATTTCTGTGTGCAACATCGCGGAAGGTGGACGTGAAATTGAGGAGGAGTTTATCACTAAATGAGGAGCTCCTTCTACAATCTGGAACTGGTTTGGTCAGGGCTGTACAGTGCACAAAAAATCGATCTGAATAAATGTAGTACAGTAGCATGTGTGCAATACAGTTTGCATGTGTATGAGCCTGTTTACAAACCTGTTGTCCAAAGATATAATTTATTGACATGTTTTTTCTCCAAATTAACTTAATATCATAGTTGAGTGTTTGAAAAAACATCTTTTTGTGGTTTCATATTACAGAATGATAGTATAATATACAGTGATAAAGACTATGTTGATTAGCATTGCATAGTAAATATAATTTCCTTATAAAAATACCCAAGATTGCTTGAAGAACACAGATAAACCATATATTTTGTGCAATGGTATGTTCATTGTCTTCATGTTTTATCAGTTAAAATTTCTCTATCTCCATTGTGTTTTATTCAGCAATAACTGGATACTTTGTCCATATTAGGGATTTCCTGGAGCGTCATCAGTGCTATTACTTCTGCGATGCATGTGTGGAGTTTCTGCGCAAGAGCGCGCTCCGGCTTCCAGTATGAATTAAACAGTCATTACATTACGTGTGTACTCAGTAATGCTCACAACACCCTATTTTGGGTAAAAATAGGAAAGATAATACTTTTCTCTAAAGAAACAGGATTCCCTGAATTATCGTCATTGATATCGTTATCGCAAAGATAATATCTCTAAAGAAACAGGATTCCCTGAATTATCGTCATTGATATCGTTATCGCAATAAATACCAGAAATTTTGTGATATATTTTTAAGCCCATATCTCGCAATTCTGAGTTTATATATCGTGATTCAAAATTAATATCTTGTGATTCTGGGTTTATATATCGTAGTTCTAAATTAACATCTCATGATTCTGAGTTTATATCTCGCGATTCTGAGTTTATATATCACGATTCAAAATTAATATCTTGTGATTCTGAGCTTATATCTCGTGATTCTAAATGAATATCTCGCAATTCTGAGTTTATATCTCGCGATTCTAAATTAATATCTCGCAATTCTGAGGTTGTATCTCGCGATTCTAAATTAATATCTCGCAATTCTGAGGTTGTATCTCGCGATTCTAAATTAATATCTCGCAATTCTGAGGTTGTATCTCGCGATTCTAAATTAATATCTCGCAATTCTGAGGTTGTATCTCGTGATTCTAAATTAATATCTCGCAATTCTGAGGTTATATCTCATGATTCTGGGTTTATATCTTGCGATTCTAAATTGTGAATTGTGAGATTAAAAAGTTGCAATTACCTTTTTATTTTTTTTATTCCATGGCGGAAATGGGCTTCCATAATCAGATGTAAAGAAAGTCAATCATAACTAGACTAACTACTGAGATGACAGTCCAAGAGTCAGTTAATGTAATTTCACCCTCTCTGCAGGTGGTTACAGGTGCATTGACTGTTTTTGCTGACCATCTTATTTTCTGATAAGAATTAAAACACGTTTGGCTTGTGTGTGATCAACTGGACACTGATTTATAAGCAAGGTAAGGGTTTACAAATACTTGAATTACGTAACGACACGCCCCTTCAGTGTTTTACCTCCAGATACAGACACGCGGCAAACGACTCGTTCACGACGATGTCTCCGTGCTTGAACGTTGGAACCTGCAAATAAAAAGAAAAAAAAAGTGCGATATTAAAACAAAAGTTTGGCAACTGTTCCGTCGCTGAATTAAAGCTGCATACACAGTAAACGCCCAATGCAATCATAAGAAATCATAAACGGCACGAGTATGCAATGCATCTGAACGCACCTGAACTCTGGGATTGAGAGCTTTCACTTCTTCACACTTGTGTTCGTTCTTGTCAAAAGACAAATGTTTGTGTTTGTATCCCTGCAGCTGCTTCTCCTCCAGCGCGATCATGACTCTCCAGCACGGCGGAGAACCGGAGCTCCAGTACAGCAGCATGCTCTGCGCCATGACCGCTAATAACGCGTTTAATTAAGAAAAAATGATGAATACTCTGCAGAACAGACCACAGATTTTACTGCGTCACGCGCTTATAAACGCTTTCACTGAGGGGCGGGGACTCGCCATCTGCCGGCCGCAGATGGAACTGCGGCTCGTGTTTAAATAACGGAAATAGCCTACAGTGGTGCTCTGGTATTAATGATCTCAATAGAGGAAATAATAATAATAATAAAGTAAAAAAAAAATACAATAAATGAAAAATAATTAAAAATAAAAAAATAAATACACAAAATAATAATGAATAAAAACAAAATAAACAAATAATAATTAAATAAAAAATTAATGAAATAAAATACTAATAATAAATAAACAAACAAAACAATAAATAATGTTAAAATAAATGAAAAAGAAAAAGAAAAGAAAAAGAAATGCTGAAAAAGAAATAAAAATAAAATATAAAAGAATTTCAAAAGAATAAAAAAATAAAAATGCTTTAAAATGTTTTTATGTATTCAAGGGCCTGTTTAGTTTATCTATTAACTAAATATGATCAAACATGATCAGTTTATTTATTACTCTCTACAGGTGTCAGGAACGCACAGATCCAATCAAACGCTGCCAGCTGTCTTATTTCAGAACGGGTTTTATTGCCGGGTGTGACGCATGCAGATCAAAGTAAATAAAAAAATTAAATAATAATAATATAAAAAATAATGCAATACTATAAATAAAAAATAAATATAAATAAAATAAAAACAACATATAACATTTAAAAGAAAGAACAAAAAATGAAAAATAAAATAAACCAAAACAATGAATGGGAATGTAAATAAATACATAAATTAATAAGTAAATGGAAAAAAAAAACAATAAATAAAAATTTGAAAAACAATTAAACCAAACAAATAAGCAAAACAAATAAAATAACAATAAATAAATAAAATATACAGAAAATAAAAGAGAATAAATAAAATAAAAAATAATAAAATACCTGTATAGTTTTGTAATAGATCGATTACAAAACTATACAGGTATTCAAGGGCAGGCTTTAAGAGAGATATTACTTATTGGACCAAACAACAGTACACATAATCTCTTGGATTACAATTTGCAACTAGACGGATGTACTGTTACTTCCTCTACAGTCAAAAATCTGGGTGTTATATTAGATAGCAACTTGTCTTTTGAAAATCATATTTCCCATGTTACAAAAACAGCATTCTTAACTAAATATGCAGTTCATGTGTCAGAAACGCACAGATCCAATCAAACGCTGCCAGCTGTCTTGTTTCAGAAAGGGTTTTATTGCAGGGTGCGACGCATGCAGTGAAAAACGTTACAGTACAAGGCCTTCAATTCTGCAAAATGAGTTCAGATTCCATGTGCTCAAGAAACGAACTAAACATTACTGATGTTTCAGCAGGTACAAACAGACGAGTGGATCATGCAAGCTTCGTGTTCTGAAATAAAAGGCAAGTAAAACCGAACAATTCTCTGTTCAAACACTGTAATCTAGTTTTGCTGCTGGCGAGAGAAACGCTGAGCGTGGCGTTTATGGCTTCAGTGGTCTTCCTTTCAGCTGGAGCTTCTCGTGTCTTTCTGCTGTCAAATCTTGACTGATGTTTATCAAGTAAACGTCAGAATAACTTATGAATAATAATGAATATTTTTGGATCTTTGAAAAACTGTTTTGTTCCTCTGTTGTGAACTGCTAAATGCAAATGTAACCGTTATATTGCTATAATCAAACTGTTAAATTAAAATGTTTTATTTTTTGTGTCAGATTATTGATTTAAAACTTAACATTTTGATGTTTTATTTGGATTATATATATATTTTAATTTATTTATTTTAATTATTTGTTTGATAATTGTATTAATTTTCCTAAGTGTTTAATTTTAACATTACTTTATTTTTATATTTTTATGATGTTATGTATTTTTATTTAGTTTTTGTCTTTTTTATTTAACATGCTTATTTTCATCACCTTTTATATTGTTAGTAATATTTCAAGATGAACACTAAACAATAAAAAACAATCAAAATAAAACACTGAAATTTCAATAAATCGTAAAAATGTAAAAATACAATAAAGTTCTGTCTGTCTTGTTGTTTTGAAAATTCAATAAATAAAAAAAATTATAAAATCATAAGACAAATAATTAATATAAATAAAGTATTTGTGGAAAAAAAATCTGAATAAAATACTTAAAATTAAATAAACATTTTTATGATTTTATTAATTTTCAAGTATTTTTTATTTTATATTGTTTTTATTTTACCATTATTTATTTAAAATTTTACATGTTTACGATGTTTTATTTTATTCGTTTTTGTGTTTTTTATTTAACATGTTTGTGGTTTTATTTGTTTTTACTTATTTACTTATTATTTAGATCATTTTATGTCAGTATTTGATGTACTGTTATAAAGATCTCATTGATTTACATTACAAGCATCAGAATTTCATCATATAATATATATATTATATAATCGCACTTGCATATCATTGCTCTTTTGTTGATTTTGATTGCTTCCATTGTCCTCATTTGTAAGTCGCTTTGGATAAATGCATCTGCTAAATGACTAAATGTAAATGTAAATATAAATATCAGCATCTGCACCAAATTGCATATTTTTGAGTCTCTGAATAAAACTGAGCCGTTTTTTTCCTCCATATTATCACTGTATCAGACTATATGAGCCATAAAAGCCTGATGGATCAAACATGATTTCCTTTTATATTTTGTCTAAATGTTCAGTAAATTGTTACATTTGATAAAATTCAATTTTTCATTTAAAATGTGAAGAGACAAACTCTGCAGCTGAACGTACGTGATTTGCGGTTCGCGCGTGAGCGGCGGCGTTCGCGGGGTTGACCTCGTTCTCTGGGACTCTGAGTGGCTGATTGTACGATTCTCTCCATGATCTCATCTGCAGCGTCGTCCGTCGCGCACTGAGACTCTTCATTTGCCGCGACCCATGCGGTGCGGCCTACAGAGAGACACGAGGATGTTACATCGATTCACCTGAACGTGTTTCTACACATGAACACTGATCGTGTGTGTGTGTGTGTGTGTGTGTGTGTGTGTGTGCAAGTGTGTGTGTTTGTGTGCACAGCTTAATGAGGAATAAAATATTAGAGATTCCAGTCAGGTTTTAGAGCTGGCCATAGTACAGAGTCTGCTCTTTTGAGGGTTTCTAATGACTACCTACGAAGCGCTGATTCTTCTGTTAGAACTTACTGCGTCATTTGATACAGTTGATTATAATATTCTCATTCTCATTGATCGTCTTAGGAACCAGGTTGGTATTCAGGGCTTAGCCGTAAAATGGTTCTCTTCTTATTTGAAAGATAGGTCCTTTTCAGTCAGTTTAGGGGATTATTCTTCTACTCTTGTGCGTGGGGTTCCTCAGGGTTTTATTTTGGGACCAATTTTATTTTCCCTTTATATGCTCCCTTCAGGTTCTATTCTTAAGAAATGTGGGATTCACTATCATTTGTATGCGGATGAAATTTATTTACCACTGAAACATGGGCATAAATGTGCCATTCAGTCCCTATATGAATGTTTGACTGAGGTTTAGTGTTGGTTGGCGAATAACTGTGAGTGTGTGTGTGTGTGTGTGTGTGTGTGAGAGCGCGTGTGTGTGTGTGTGTGAGAGCGTGTGTTTGTGACCTCTGCTGGCGCGTGTGCGTGTACGTGTCCTGAGGCCCGTCGCTCCGGTGCTGTCGTTGTCTCCTCTCTGCAGGCTGCTCTTCAGCACGGCCTTCATCTGCTCGTGTTCAGCTGCGTCTTCAGCGTGACACAAACTCTGCGGCTTTGTCTGTGGCCCAAAAGGAGGAGCGATGCTGCTGCTGCTCACACACACACGACCCGCCTGCACACACACACACACACACACAGACCATCACAAACTACACACTGATTATACATTATCATAAATTATACATTTAATAAACATCAAAATGTTAAATTAAAATAACTAATTAAAAAAACAAAAAAACTATCGAAATTAAACTATTTATTTTGATTGCTTTTATTAAAATATTTGTTTTATAAATTATTTATAATTTAAGATTTTGATGATTTATTTGAAGTATTTTTTTGTAAACTTAAAATACAAATATCAAAATAATACACTTAATAAAATTTTAATGAATCATAAAAATAAATAAATAATATAAACAAATGATTTGAAAATAAAAAACGTAAGATTGAACACATAAATGTTAAGTTAAAATAAATAATTTGAAAATAAAACCACCAAAATAAAACACTAAAACTTTCATTACTTATTTAAATGTTAGTGTTTAGATTTTTTGTTTTTGTTTTCAAATTTCCAATATTTTAAAGGGGTCATATGACGATTCTAAAAAGAACATTATTTTGTGTATTTGGTGTAATGAAAAGTGTTTATGCGGTTTAAGGTTAAAAAAACACATTATTTTCCACATACTGTACATTATTGTTTCTCCTCTATGCCCCGCCTTTCTGAAACGTGTCGATTTTTACAAAGCTCATCGGTCTGAAAAAGCGAGGTGTGCTCTGATTGGCCAGCTATCCAGTGCGTTGTGATTGGCCGAATACCTCAAGCATGTGACGGAAATGTTACACCCCTTACCATACTGTGATGCCCTGTCAGGCCGGAGCGATAATTCAAAAACATGAAAACCCATTATAAAAGAGGCATTCGTTGAATCCAGTGGGGACATAATTATGGATTATAATAACTTATACTGTCTTTTTACGCGTTGCGTCGCATCGCGCCGCGTAACATAAAATCATGTCTGCATTTGTGATCAGAGAAATGACAAACAACAAGCCCTACTCTACACTGCCCAAAAAACTCGCTTTAAATATATAAAATATAAAAACTCTTTAAATATAAAAAAACATACTTACAGTCTTTGAGTCAGAACAGCCGGCATTGTAGTCTACTCTACCAAGATCAGGAAACAGTCCTCCATAAAATGCACTGCA